CATCTGTATGTTTCTGTATGTGTACACATAACGTTAATAGTGTCCGGGGCCCCGGGGGGAAAAAAAAAAAAAAAAAAAAACGCACCCCCCGCACCCGGTAACGAATTCGGCCCACCCCGGGCCTCCCGGGCACCTCTCCAAATGAAACCCACGAGAGCCCGAAAACAGTCCCAAAGGTCTCCAGGCGTTCCGGCGCGTTCCCAGAAACACCCCAAGAGGCAATTCTTGTTTTTTGGTGAATGTTGGGGTTTTCCTTCTTGTCGGTTTCCCGACGCTCCAAAACGGCAGTTTTCTGGACGTCCGAAACCGCCTGGGAGGCTCGAGCATCGCCCCACATCACCCGCTTCCAGGCAGTCCAGGAAAGCCCCAAGACGGCACAACAGGTTTCCAAAATTGCTTAAGAGAGCCCCATGACGGCCCAGCATGGCCCCCAAACGCCCTCCGAAACACTCCAAATCGTGAGCCGGTCGTTCAGCGAGACCGCGGTTGAAGGTAGGGTGGCCCGAGGAGCCCCCCAGAGGCCCCCAGAAGACGCCCAGGAAGCCTCCAGAAAGCTGTAAGAAAGCCTTTGGAACTTCCGTGAGGCCCTCATAGGCCCTCCGAGGAGGAACCGCCGCAGAAAAACCTGACGAGGATGGAGGCAATGCGCAGGTCACGGCGAGAGTGAAAAATCATGGAGAAAAAACGACGAAAACATTCGGCGATGCCGGAAAAAGGCAACGAGGAGTTATCGTTAAATTGTCGGTTTGGCCTCCCTGCCGCTCCGCCTGCGTACCAAACTTCAAAGATTAAGGTCATGGCGCGAAGCGCCATGCAGTCCTGTATGTATGTATGTATGCATGTATGTACACATGCAAACAAAGAGTAGAAACGCATAACACAAAGACAGTCAAACATGCCAGTGCGCGCGTGCGAGAGAGAGAGAGAGAGAGAGAGAGAGAGAAAGAGAGTGAGTGAATGAAAATGTAAGTGTGTGTGTGTGTGTGTGTGTGTGCGTGCGTGCGTGTGTGTGTGTGTGTGTGTGTGTGTGTGTGTGTGTGCGTGTTTGTGTCTGTGCGTATGTCGGTATGTGGGTGGGGTATGAAAACATTTACTATTCATATAATACGCGAGAGCGCGTTCCGTGGACGCTGGGGTGGGGGTGGAACCGGACCCCCCCCCTGGATGGATGGGGGGGGGTTCGAACCCCCCCCACCCCCCTCCCGTGCCGGAAGGGGGCACGGAGGGTTTCGACCCCCCCCTTCCCCCCCCCCCTCCCTTCCTCCCGCGGCGGCTGGCGGCGGCGGCGGGGACGACGATTTCCTTTTTTGGGCTGGCGCCGGCGCCTGCGGCGGCGGGCGGCGGCGGCGGGGGGCGTCGACGAGGACGGTGGTGGTGGTGGTGGTGGTGGTGGTGGTGGTGGGTTGTGGTGGAGGTGGTGGTGGTGGGTTGTGGTGGTGGGTTGTGGTGGCGGTGGTTTGTGGAGGTGGTGGTGGTGGTGGCGGTGGAGGTGGTGGTGGTGTGGTGGTTTGTGGTGGTGGTGGTGGTGGGTTGTGCTGCTGGTAATGGTGGTGGTTGTGGCGGTCGTCGTGGTGTGGTAGATTGTGGCGATGGTGGTAGTAATGGTGGGTTTTTGTGGTGGTGGCGGTGGTGTGGTGGTGGTTGTGGTGGTGGTGGCTATGGTGGTTGTGGTGGTGGTTGTGTGGTGGGTTGCGTGGTGGTGGCAGTGGGTTGAAGTGGTGGTTGTGGTGGTGGTAGTGCTGGTGGTGGTAGTGGTGGTAATCGTTGCTGCGTCCCCGCCATCGCTGGCGCAACCGCTGGCGCTGCTGGCCGCCTCCAACCCCGGCGCCGGTGCCAGGGGAGGGGGGGTGGGTTGACCCCCCCCCTTCGGCGCTGGCGCCAGGGAGGGGGGAGGGTTTGAACCCCCCACCCTTTAGGGACCCTCTGGTCATCGTCGCTGCGTCCCCGCCGTCGGCGCTGCTGGCGGCCCCCAGCGCCAGCGCCAGCGCCGGCGCAGCGGGGGTCGGGGTTTTGAACCCACCCCCCTCCGTTGGGAGGGGGACGGGGGAGGGGTCGGAGGGGGGGGGGTTGGGGGGGAGGGGATTTCCATTGGTTTTGATTGACGGCGCCGAATGGTGGGGGGGCCCACCCCGGTTCGAAACGCGCCGCCAAATTTTCCCAAGGCAAGCGCCCGTGAAATGCGCCTTTGATATATTCACAACTGCACGATACCGACACAGGCAAGAAAAACGGGCACGGACAGACATCTCTTTCTATGTGTGTGTGTATATATAAAACAAGCATAGCGAGAGGAGACAAAGAGATATACTTACACACAAATGCAAAAAAAAAACAGGGGAAGGGAGGGAACCATGACAATATAACGACACATACACATATACTTAAACGTATTGGCGTATATATGTATATATACATATATATATATATATGTATATATATATATGTATGTATGTATGTATATGTATACATATGTATATATATATATATATATGTATATATATGTGCATCGACAAAAGACGGCCACGGGCGGTCACCTTCTCCGTCTTGCGCAGCGTGGTGGCCGTACTCAGCTCCTCTCGGGGGGGAGGGCGGCATGTGAAGGACAGGAACCGCCGAGAGGCGTCCGCTGCCGATGTTCGCATTGCTCGAAACCGACCGTGCCCAAGCGCTGCCAAACACACAACGGCCCAGCCTTGCAGAATTTTGCCCAAACGCGCTATGAAGCCAGGCCGTCCCTGATTTCGTGCGTCGCCCTTCGCGCACTGCGTCGTGCGAGTGCCGTCGCGGCCCCCATTGAAAAAAAGGACAAAACTCCCTGGCCCAGACAGCGAAACGCTGTCATCTTCGCGTCCCTGCGGACCTGGTGTCAGCTTGCGATTGACAAAATCAAGCGGGGCGCGTGATTCAATAAGTGGTCCCCCTGCTCGGGCGAATCGCGGGGGGGGCGCCTGCCGAATGGAAGCGCACGGCGGCGGCGCCGGTGATTAGCGCCGACGCCTGGCCGAGAGCAGGAGGGCGACGTGCGCGACGCAAGCGGCGCCGCTTCAGCGGACGGGGACAGCAGCGCCTGCGATACAACGGAACGGTTGGACCAAAACGCCTACAGACAGGAGAGAAAGAGGAGGCGGGGAAAGAGGCGCCCAATATGGCGGGCGGTGTCGATTTGGCTACAAAAAACAAGAGGGGGAGAAACGACAAGGTCAAGCTGATAGGGTTCCTCTTGGTCCTTCTCCCCCCCCCCCCGCCACTACAATATCCTACGACAGCGACGGCGACAGCGGACGACGACGCACTGCGGATGCTTCATGGGGGGGGGGGCGGGGGTGCTGCGCATGCCTGCTGTGCTCGTTGACGGCGACGACGAAGAGGACGAGGACGAAAACGAGGACGAGGACGACGGCAACAGCGCGACGACGACGGCGACGATGACGACGACGACGCACTGCGGATGCCCCATGGGAGGGAGGGCTGCGCAGGCCAGCTGTAGTCGTCGACGACGACAACGCAACAACGACGACGACGACAACGACGACGACGACGACAACGCCGACGACGACGGCGACGAAGAGGGCGACAGCAGCGAGGACAACGACGACGACGACGACGGCGACGACGACGACGGCACGACGACGATGGCAACTTGACGACGGCGGCACCGACGACGCAGTGCGGATGCCCCATGGGGGGGGGGCTGAGTAGCCGCGCCGCAGTCGACGACTGGGACCACGGACCACGGACCACGACGAAGACGACGACGACTGTGGCGCGTCAATAGTCTCGGATGTATACGATCCCTTTAATAACTTATTTACGGAAAACAAGCGTTTTGAGGCTGCAGTGCAGGGGGGTACACGATCCCCTCGGCGGCGCCCGCGACGACCCCCTGGCGCGCGTGATTTAAAAATTGTTTCGCGCCCCGCGGGGTCTGTTCATCAGCCCCGGAGGGGGGGGGGCATCATCTGTCAACCACAAGCTGATATTCGGTGAGGGCACACTCGCTGATCGACCGAACTTGAAAACACGGAACAGAAACGCCTGACACCCCCCACCTCCCCGTCATCCTCCTCCTCCTCCTCCACCATTCCTCCCCCCGAGCCCCTGCTCAACCTCCCCTGCCCTTGCATTCCTTTTCTCGTCTCCTCCCCCTCTGCCCCCTTCCCCTCCCGGTAAGCCTCGCCTTCTTCAACTCCTACTCATGCTGCTCCACCTTCTCGTTGGCATCTCATCCTGCATTTTTTCCTCCTCCTCCAGCTTCCGATTTCTCCTCATCGTCCGTCTCCTGCTCCTCAGCCTTCTTCTTTCTTCTCCTCGTCAGTCGTCATCGTCGTCGTCATTATCCTCATCTCCTCCTCCTCCTTCTCCTCCTCCTCTTCCTCCTCCTCCACTTAGCTCCCCTTTCCCCCCTCGCGCCCCCCTTCCGCAGGGTGGTGGAAGCTGGGTCCTGGCCCCCTGATGCTGGGTGGGAGGCAGAGGCAGGGTAGGAGAAGAAGGGAGACCAAATGTAAAGAACGGACGAACCGACCAGTCCACCTCACCATCGGGCGTCCGCGGGCCCTGCGCCCGTCAGGACCCCAGTTCGGGACTTTTCGAGCTCAACGTTCGCAACTCACATTTTCGAGGATGGAGGCCGCCGCCCACATGGAGCCAGTCTAGCCGAGGCCGGATAATTTTGCCGCATAGGCGACGCTGGGATGGAGGCAACGGGCTGGCTCCAGGTCGCGCGGCCTCGCGCGATGGCGATACTATGTGATCCTTCGAGCACGTCGGCTTCGGCCACGTGGACGGCCTGGGATGGCTGAGGAGCAGGAGGACGAGCAGGAGGAAAATCGGCATAGGAACTGGGGAAACCAAAAGGTATTAATACCGCTACTCCCTGGACATCTCCTGGTGTGCGGTCTGACCAGAATTTCGAGGCGAATCCAGCGGTGGTGACGAGTGCCTCCCAAGAGGCCCCCCAAAGGGGAAATGAGCGAAGGGTCACAGTATGGTATGGGTACCCTTTCCTCCTATGAGGGGCAGGGGTCCTGGTGAAAACGGGCCCCGGGCCCCAGGGCCTTTCTCCGGGACCAGCTCGTCCCCGCGAACCGCTTTCACATGACCACGGGGCCCGGGCCGTCTGCCCGACGACGCCGAGCGACTTGTCTTCTCCTGGCGTCCCCGAGAAACTGGACCCCTGGGCCCGTCTCCACGGACTCAGCCCGTTGCGACGAGAAGGCCCCCCAAAAAGCCCCGAGAAGAACCTCGAGCGCCAAACAACCCGGAACCTCGAGCCACGACCCACGACCCCTGTTCTTCACGCCGGGGACCGGGATGCAGGATCGGGCGCAACGCCCAGACCGCCGCGCCGACACGTCTGGAGGAGGCAATCCACAAGAAGAACAGGATGGAGAGCCCAGGAGGAAGGGAGGGGGACGCGGCGCCACGAGCACGACCATCAGGAGAGGGAGGGGAGGAGGTCCGCCCCACGGTGCGGCCCGCGCCTGGAGATCAAGTCTTTACTATTCCACATCACGCGCGTTATGTGGCAGCGTGGGTGGGTGGGGTCGCTGGCACATGACATAACACAGCCGCGCCCGGCCGCTCGAATGGCTGTAACCACGCATGCCGATGCAGCAGGTTATGCGCGCACCACATCGCGCCTGTACGCCAGAGCGCATGGCGCATGGTGGTGCTCATGTAAACCACAGAGCCTGCGCATTCAACTGTAAACGCGCCATACCACAGCACCTTCTTCACACCATCGCTGCGCCTACAGCGACGACGACGACGACGGTTAAGGAGCCCACAGCTCTCCAGAAGCCTCAGGAGGCCTCAGAAAACTTGTGGGAGCGTGTGCGCGTTATCCGAAGCTCTCGAACGCGACGACGACCAAAATGACTGACGACGACGGCGACGACGACAGCCGCGTGCGCAACAGTGCCTGTGTACACTATAGTGCCAACGTGCACCAAAAAAGTTGTGTACACCACACCGCCTGTGCACACCACAGTACCCGTGTGCACCACGGCGCCTGCGAACATCACAATGCGCGCGCGGCCACAGAGCCTCTTTTCTTGCGTCTCCTCCTCCTCGTCCTCATCCTGCCCCTACCCCATCTCCTCCCCCTTCTCCTGCTCCTCCTCCTACTCCTCTTCCTCCTCCTCCTCCAGTTGTTGGGTTTCTGCGGGACGGCGTCAGCCTGCTAAATACATGCGGGTTCTGTTTCAGTTGCACGGCGTCGGAAATGGCAATGTCAACAACTCTGGGCGCCGACGTCTAAGCAGGCCCACCTCCCGTGGCCAAGCCCTCCTCCGTCCACCGTGGCTGAGGCAAGGGGGCACGGCGCACACATGGCCTCTGGCTCTGGATGGGCCTGGCCAGGGGCAGCGGTTATGCATGGACCTCGTCCCCCACATGTTTCGCACATGTCGTCCGTACTTGCGTCGGGCGTTCCCAACGAGCGGCTCGCGCCAGAATGGCGCCGATCATCGCAGCACGGGCGGACAATTCCTGCCCCCCCACGAGGTCGCCGCCGCGTCTGCACGACAACTGGAGAATAATCCGCCGCCGCGCCTGCACGGCAACGGCGTGTTAAAACGCCCGTGGGCTGTCTGGCTAGGTTTCTCTATTGTACGAATCCACCGCTGTGCTTGTTAAAGCCAAAAGCATGTACATCGCAGTGCTGGCGTGCACCACAGACGGTACGCCTCCAGGTGCCCGGCGGCGTCAGACTCTAACAAACCGTGGTCGGTTCGAACGTATCATATTCAAAATGAAAACGGTTTGTGATTATTATTTGCTTCTGGCCGCGGGCACGGGGCCTACCCCGTTGCACGCGCGCACAACAATCCCTGTGTATACCACAATGCTGGACACCACAACGCCTGTGTGCACCACAGCTGCCGCTGCAGACGGCGCGTGCGCCATGCGCACCGCCCTGCCTTTTTCTTCCAATGCCGAATGTGCCGCCGCGCCTGCGTGGGCGCCACAGCAGTCTGCGCGCGCCACGCGCCTCTACATACCATAGGCGCATGCCTTCGCACACTGCAAACACGTGGCGCGCGAACTACGAACAGCATACCTGTGTGCTAAAATGGGCGCTGCTGCAACGGGGGTGGGTGGGGTGGTGGTCGTTTGTTACCTCCACATAACGCGCGTTAGGTGCAAGCCCTTTTGAAATTGATCTCTTGGCAACCATCGCCACTCTTCCGCACAAGATCCAATGTGGCAAGGGGGGGATAAGGTGGACGACACGACGAGACAGGGGCGACGGCAGAAAGGGAAGGCGAACGACGACGACCACGAGGCGGAAACGAAAACAACAGGAAGCCTCGCTGTGCCCCAGGAGCGCCGGCACCGACGGCCCGGGCGCTCCTTCTCCGCCTTGGCCACGGCGCCCTCCAATTCCGCGACCTCCCCGGCGAGCGCCGTGGCGTCCGTGCTGGCCTGGGCCCGGCGGGGGGGGGGGGTTCTGCAACCGACTGCGAGCCCGAGGGGACACGCTGTACACGCCGGTCGGAAGAAGTAGGTAAAAACGTGAAGTAGGAAGGCGTTGGAAGCAGATTGGGCTTCCACCCGCCCCCTGAAGAGGAGGAAAGAAGGAAAACCACTCGACTCTTGAAGTAGGAAGGCGCCTAAAGAAGATTAGGATTTGAGCATCCAAAAACACCTACTTTCAACGACCGGCGTGTATGGGGGGACGGGCTCATTGGGGGGGAAATTTGGGGCTCGAAGCGGCGACACGTCGCCGACAGATCGGCTTTGTGGCCCCCGGGAGCGAAGCCGCACGCTCCTGGGCGGGGGTGGGCTATCGGGCCCCTAGCGGCGACCAGTGTCGGCGACCACACTGGGTGCGGTTTGCGAAGGGTGCGGTTTGCCTCCCGTCATATCTGCCCCTCCCGCCCCCGGGAAACGGATGACACTGTCACTCAATGCGACCGAATCACATGACACTGTCGCTCCTTCTAGTACAGTGCAGCACACATCGAAGATGACATTGTCGCTCGAAGCGACGACAGTTCTGACGTTGTCTCTCACAAAGGCCCCGGAAAGGCCGCCACAAAGCAACTCGCAAACCGCACCCTGGCGTAACCGCACCAATTGTAGTCGCCGAAAGTGGGCGATCGGCTGTCCACTCATCCCCCCTGAGCAGGTCCCTTGAAGTTGCCACTCAATGACGTGCCGCCTTGGTGAATACATGAGCGTGTTATTTGGAAGACGCGACAAGGTGACAAGGTTCCGGACAAAAGCGAACTAACACGCTGACGGGCTTCCAACGGCGGTGTGTCATTCATACGCGTTTTCTTTCCAAGCGGATGCGACTGGGCACTCGCCGACACCCCATGGTAGTTTCCAAAGGCGCACGTCGGTGAGAACAAGAGAGGGCGGCTGGACCTCCCTTTTCCCTGGTCCCCCGTCGGGGACCTCCCCTACACGTTCCATCCGTCCTCTGGGACCCCCCAGCCCATTTTTCAAAGTGGGACGCGCACGCCGGAATTTGGGAGGGCGCGCCGCAAGACCTGGCCCGGCACAGAAACGGAAAGAGCGATGCAGCAACAGAAACCGAAATGACGCACACCACCGTTCGTACTGGGAGCCTTGGCGTTGAGAGCTGGTTACGCCACCCCTCGCTCTTGGGAGCCTTGGGGTTCAGAGATGGTTGCGTTGCCGCCCGTTCCTGAGCCTTGGCTGGGCCTTGGTGTCAGAAACTTGTTACGTCACCGCTCTCTGCTGGGAGCCTGGGTCGTATCAGCTTGTTTACGTCACCGTTCGTTCTTGGGACCCTTGGTGTGAAGAGCTTTTTGCATTACCGATCGCTCTTGGCGTCTCTGGGCCTTCTTGGAAGTCCTATTGGGGCCCTTTTCGGGCCCCCTTGGTGGCCTCTTGGGGGCCTCTTGGGGCTTCTTGGGGGTCTGCGGGGGCCTCCCTGGAGCGCCTTTAAGCGAAAGGCTAGACTGTCGGGGTCGTGGTCCCCCTCTGGGGGCCGTCTTGGGGCCCTCTTGGGCCGTCTTGGGCGCCTCTTGGGCCGTCTGGGGCCCTCTTGGGCTGTTTTGGGGGCCTCTTGGGAGCCTCTTGGGCCGTCTTGGGAAGGTCTTGGGGGCCTCTTGGACCGTCGTCAACGCCGTGAAAGCCGAAAAGCCGTGTATGCTACAAATGTACGTTTTCCAATGGGAAATCGATGATTTTGGCCTCCTGTTGGCCTCGTGGGACGCCTCTTGGGGAGGCTTCTTGGGGGGCTGTGGGGGCCTCCCGGGAGCGTCTTGGGACGATCGGCTAGACTTTTCGGTTCGTGGTCCCCCCTTCGGGGCCGTCTTGGGGCCCTCTCGGGCCGTGTTGGGCGCCTCTTGGGCCGTGTGGGGGCCCTCTTGGGGGCCTCCTGGGCCGTCTTGGGGCGGTCTTGGGGGCCTTTTGGGCCGTCGTCCACGCCGTGAAAGGCGAATAGCCGTAGATGCTAATGCTGATGCTGAAAATCTACGTTTTCCTATGGATTTTGGCATTTTGGGGCCCTCTTGGGACGCCCCTTGGGCGCCTCTTGGGGGCCTCTTGGGGGCTTCTTGGGACGTCTTGGGCGGTCTTGGGCTTTTCTGGGACGGAAGAAAAGTGAAATCTGAAAAACATGCAAAAACCCAAACAAAACCCAAAACGTCCATTAGAGCCAATCCGCTCCCCGTGCGAACGTCATCGCTCGTACCTCGCTCTTTCCGTTATGTCACCAGAAGGCCCTTTGCTTTTGGACATTCTATTACCCGGTTTCTCGCTCCTGTCTCTCCGATCATTTTTCGCGCCAACTGGTTGGTTGTTTCCACCTGCCGCCGACTGAGCCGGGGCAGCTGGTGCCTTGGGCTTTTTGCGGTTGCAAGGGCAACCCTGTCCAGCTTCGGGGCAGTTCTTTCCTTGCTTGACATGCCTGCAGGTCGTCTCGCCTTTGGTGCGCCCGCTCGCTGTCTTGTCGGTCGGCAAGCCGAGACGGCGTACTGTCGCCGCCATCGCGGAAGCCCGTCTGCCGCCTCCGCTGCCCTCGTGTGTCCCGCCGCTGAGGCGAGCTTGTCTATTTCTAGAGTTGAGGGTCAAGTCGTGTTCGGAAATAGCCCACTTCTCGCGATTCTTCATCATGAGCAACTGAAGCTGCCACACAAGCCAATGGTAGGAACGCATCCTCGTCCCATGGGAGTCTGTCGATATTTCACACCGCTGTACGACGACTTGCTTAACCTGTTCTTAGAAAAGCGCATGAATCGAGGCCTTCATCTCGTCCGAAGGTTCTCAAGCGCCGTGCAATTCCTGGTGGCGCTCCATCCACTCGTTGTAGAAGTCATGCAGATCCTGATTGGGCTTTTGTCAGCCGATTGGTATCTTGAAGAGATCACGGCGTATCCATTGCTGACAGTTTTTTATCCGACCAAGCACCAACCACAGATGGCACGGATCATTTCGCGACCAGTAAGAAGGCGTTGCTCTGTCTGACACGAGTGCTCCACGCGGTTGACATGCGACAGGCAACGAGCATGTTGCACCGAGAGATTTCGGCGACGAATCACGTCGGCAAACTTCTCAAGCATCTATGTAGCTGGCACCATGTCGAGTCGCATGAAGCCCCCGACTGTCTGAACAATTCGCCATCGGAATTCGTGGACCCATGGCTTCCATGATCCACAATTGCGCTGCCATGAAACCATGCCAAGGTCCGGCGCCCGCCCTCGCGCAGTGCTGTTTCCATCTCGTAGGGTCTGGACGCTTGGAATGTCCATGAGGTTAAGTTCCCCGTCGTTTCCGAAAGTTCTCCTGTTGGGGTATATGGGGTTGGCGATGCACGGTTGCAGCGCAAGGTTATTGGGGCCGTTTGGTCCGCCTCCGCCGCCCCCGCCCGGCTCCGCCGTCACTGGGCCCCCGCGGGAGGTCACCTGGCGGCTTGGGTTCCCCGTCTCATCGAACTGTAGCGCCGCGATCGTCCCAGTGCTGGGCGCTGTGCTCTGGTCGCACCTCTGGCCGCCATCGCTGCCTCCATGTCCGCCCCCGCCCCCGCCAGATGCGGCTGAAACGCTGGTGGAGGGGAGGTGACCGGGCAGGGCGCAGTTGTCGGGGCGCCCTGAAAACTTGGTGTTGAGTGGGACATTACCAGGGCTCGATCCTTGAATATTCGCCGCGAGTGAACCTTCATTCGGTTCGATGGATTTCTCTGCGGCTGGCCCCGGAATGAATCGTGAGTTCGAAAGGGGAAGCCTGGGCGCGCGCGGCGCCGTGAACGAAGGCATTCGGTCGAGATCCGACTCTATCGGCTGAAGAGATGGCGCGCCCATTGCTGCGGCCAAGCTGCAGACCTGTTGTTCCGACCCGGCTTCCTTTTATAGCGCTCGCTCATCCGACTTCTGCAACATTTCTTGATCTGCTTTAGCGGCAGCTATTTCTTGTTTAATAGCAGCCAATTCTGCTCTATGATCTCCCAGCTCGTGTATTTGCAGCTGGCGTCTTCGATTGAACTCTTCTGATATTGCAGGGCGTTTCCGTGCCATCTCATCTTCCTGTTCTGCCATTTTCCTCGCTTCGTTTTTGTTGCGGTAGATGTCTTCAAATATGCTTCGTTGCTCTGCCTTTTTCGCGGGATCGTCTTGTTCCCTGGACCCCCTGCCTCTGGCGCATTCAGAGCGCGCGTCTCATGGCCCCTTCGCCCTGGCGTTCCCAGCGCGCGGGTTTGCGCGCCCCGCGCGCACCCCGATTGCAAGCTTTGAGCATGCGTGACGTGGCTCATCTGTCGCGCCCGCCCGAGGTCGGGTCGGCTTGGCCGCTCTCACTCGGGCGGGGCAAGCAACCATTGGGCTCGGTGTAGCTCGACATATGTCGGCTGGGGCAGCGTTGAGTTTGCCCTCTCCTGCGATCCAGCACCTCCCGGCTGGGCCGGCGGTGCCAATCTAGCCGCCTGCGCAGCCGCGCTAGGCTGCCTTGCCATCTGAACCTTTTTTTCCAGAGACTCTCTCGCACTCTCATGTTGCTCTCAATCAGACTTGAGCCTTCTGTTTTCTTCGCTCACGGCACGGATGATGAGTGCGTCGTTCTGGATCTGCTCATCTGCACACCCTTCGCGTGATTCCAAGCCTCTGCCATTCTTCTTTGGTCATCCTGCCTTATGGCCTGGGCCTTCTGATCCTGCTCATGGAGTGCACGTGCCGCTTCTAGCCTTATCTTATCTTTTCGGCCTCGAGTCTAGCAGCATCGCGTTGGTCACGGATCTCCTGGTTTTCTCGTGCTGCCTGCTCTCGGACCACTCTCTCCTTCCCGTCTGGTTGCATCAGGTATTGTTTGAAATTCAACGCGCTCTTTTTATCGGCCTGTAGTTGCGACGATGGGATCACTTGTCCGGCCTCTCCCTGACTCCTTCGCTTTCCCTTCTCCTCTTGCGCGAAACGCCGCTGAGCCACGCTCGCGATCTTTGCTACTTCTGCTCCCGATTGTAATATGCGTTTCTGGGCATCTTCTGCGATGGCCGCCTTTTCTTGCTCAGCTCTGCGTGCCATGGCCCTCTTCTCTGCTTCGGATTCAGCGAGCCGACGGTTGGCATCTTCAATGGCCGCTTTGTCTACATGTGCCTGCAGCAGGATCTGTTGCGTCAGTGCAATTGCTGCCATCAGCTGCTCTCGGTCTTTCCTTTGTTTCTCTTCCCACTCCCTGATGGCGATGCGACGACAGGTCTGCTCTTCCAACGCAATGCATTCCTCGCGGAGGCACGACGAACTGCACTTCGGACGCACGTGGGAGCATTGGGCACATACGAGTCGGCCATAAGACCCCCCCAGTTTGCGTGCTTTTCCCGGGCAGCGATTCCCCGCCTGAGGCGGGCATCCAAGGCCCGCGTTCCAGCAAGTTTCCCGGATATGAAGAAGCTGCTCGTGGTCCGATTTGAAGACGGACGAGGGGGCTCAAGAGCATCAAATCTTCTGGAGTTGGAACGTCCCGCTCTCGGGGCCTTTTTTTCCCGACCCCCGCTGGACGTCGGCGCTTTCTGCCCCCTCACTATTGACCCCATATTCCATTGAGTGCCTTGTGACTTCTCCCTTTGCTCGTCCTTTTCGTCTTGCAGGATAAGTCCATCGAGCTCTGGTACACGATCGTGGTCCACTCTCGGCGGCACGATATTTTGATATTGGAATCCTTGTGACAACGGTGGAGGGTTGGAGGGTTGGAGGGTTGAGGTCCGGTGTTTCGATCTTGTTTTTTTTTGTCTTTGGGGGCGGGGTCACACCAGTCGGTCCCCTTGCATGTCGAAACGGGCGCGTGGCGTCAGGTGAGTGCCCCATCGGCTGAGCCGAATGGCTCCCTCCTCCACGGCCCGGTACCCCGTCTTCGGGGATCATATCATATTCAAGATCGCCATCCAAATCAAGGACAACGATTCGAAAACAAAAAAATCCGACTGGTTCGTAATCGATCCGGTCGGTATCCGACATGTCCACGCCTGAGGCAAACCCGTCAGAGGAGTTCTGTAGATCATTCGGGCGATACGATGGTCCAAGAGACGTATGGAAACGATCATATTCCTCATTCTTTTCCGTCAGGTGAAGGCTCTCTTCCTCTGATTGTTCATCGCTTTCTTCTTCACCCTGCCCATTCATCACACATTATGTTATTTGTTCGTTGATGGAGCGATCTCCACCCGCTGAGCTGGTGGGAGCGTTTCTCGGCGGGCCCTCGTTGTCGTAGTTCGTGCAAACTAATATCCTGAGGCTCGACTGCGCTGATATGATCTCTGATGGCCTTCCGTTGGCAGCGTTGGCTTTACCATGCCTTCGGCCTGGAGTTGAACTTTTTCCTTCATCTGATGATATATCGGAAATCCCCCTCTCTCAAATCAAATGCAAATTCCGATGTTTGTCTTCCAGAAATATTGAGAGAAAGAGGCCGCGGGCGCTTTCCTTAGTAATGCGCTCGGGACGATTTCGTCGTTTTTTTTATCCGAGCGTTCCTTCCTTTGATCCCATGTCCAGCGAAGTCAACGGTTGAGCCTTCGTTTAGGATGATCGCCAGCTTTTTGCATGGATATTGACTATCCCTGCACTGCGTTCCGATGTAGTCTCGTATTCCCCTGAAGGTAACTTCCGTGAGGGAAGCTCAGGGGGTTCCGCCGAAGCCATGGCAAGGAAGGTGTGTTCTAAACGGATAAGAGTTGTTTGGTTTCGTGCGCGGTTTTTCGCCGGATGATCCAGGATGCTCCTTAGTAGTCCCCGCCGAGAAGAAGTGCACACGTCCGAGCGATACCAAGTCCGACCCTCTCTAGGAGGCCCAGGAGGGCCTGCCGTGCACGCGGCGCGCGCGGGACTTCTCTGGCAAGGCGGCCCGGGGCCTTGTCGATGTCCGCCCGCAGCTGGAGGATCTGGGCGGCTCCCTCCTGGGAGGCGTGCGGCCGCCGAGGCCCCCCCCACGTGTCGACCCCTTGTCCATGTCCTTTTCCTTCTCCTGCCCATCCTCCTGCCCATCCTCCTCCTCCTCCTCCTCCTCCTCCTCCTCCTCCTCCTCCTCTTCCTCTTCCTCCTCCTCCTTCTCTTCATGCTCTTGCTCCTCCTCCTCCTCCTCTTCATGCTCCTCCTCCTCCTCCTCCTGCTCCTCCTCCTCTTCCTCATGCTCCTCCTCATGCTCCTCCTTCTCGCTCGTCCTCCTCGCTCGTCCTCTCTCTCCTCCTCGCTCTGCTCGGCTCCCCCTCCTCGCCCCGCCTCGCCCGGGACCTCCCCCCGACTGGCATAGAGGGCGCGCTCCTTACCCGAATCAGAGGCAGATCTTCTTTCCCGTTCCCTGTCCCTTATCCTCATCATCTTGCAATTGCCCGCAGACGCGTCGGTCGGAGGAGGTAGAGACCTAGCCATATGCAGTTGTGAGTACCGTCGTTGCGGGCATCGCCTTGAGAGGATCTCCTCATGGGGCTCTGAAGCATGCGAACGGTGTGCCGATGTGGGGCGGACCGCCAGATGGGCACTGCCACTAAGGCTTTACGCGGATTCCACGATGTGGCCGCGAAGCGAGTGAGGGGTGCGCCGCAATGTGGCGGGGTCTACACTGGGGCCACGGGTGTAGCTCCCTAGTGAGCCACGAAGCGCTGAGCTGGGTGGGGGAAACGCATGCGGACACCGCCACTGGGGCCTTCGGTAGAGCTCCTCAATGGGGCCACGAAGCGCTGCACTGGCTTGGGGAACCGCATGCGGACACCGCCACTGAGGCCTTCGGTGTAGCTCCCCAATGAAGCCACGAAGCGCTGTACTGGGTGGGGGAACCGCATGGGAGTGCAGCCGCTGGGGCCTTCGGTGGAGCTCCCCAATGGAGCCACGAAGCACTGTGCTGGGTGGGGGAGCCGCATGCGAGAACAGCCACTGGGGCCTTCGGTGGAGCTCCGCAATGGAGCCACGAAGCGCTGTGCTGGGTAGGGGAACCCAGCCACTGGGGTTTTCGGTAGAGCTCCCGATGGGGGCCACGAAGCGCTGTACTGGGCGGGGGAGCCGCATGTGAAAACAGCCATTGGGGTCTTCGGTGGAGCTCCCCAATGGAGCCACGAGGCGCTGTGCTGGGTGGGGAAACCGCATGCGAGAGCAGCCACTGAGGCCTTCGGTGGAGTTCCGTATGAGGCCACGAAGCGCTGTACCGGGTGGGGGAACCGCATGCGAGAACAGCCACTGGGGCCTTCGGTGAAGCTCCCCAATGGAGCCACGAAGCGATGTACTGGGTGGGGGAACCGCATGCGACAGCAACCACTGGGGCCTTTGGTGGAGCTCCTTATGAGGCCACGAAGCGCGGAACCGCATGCGAGAGCAGCAACTGGGGCATCCGGTGGAGCTCCCTATGAGGCCGTGAAAAGTTGTACTGGGTGGGGGAGACGCATACTGACGAGGACAGAGGCAAGGAGGGGGAGGGAGGGGGAGGAGGGCGGGAGGTGGCGCGGGACGCTGTCTCTTCAAAACTAAAACCCAACACCCACGACCCACCCGCGACCCACCCGCGACCTATCCGCGACCCACCCGCGAATCACCCCGCGACCCACCCGCGACCCACCCGCGACCCACCCCGCGACCCGCCCGCGACCCACCCGCGACACACCCGCGACCCACCCGCGATTCACCCGCGATTCACCCGCGACCCACCCGCCACCCAACCCGCGACCTAACCACATTGCTTTAACAAAAAAATCGGCGCCTGCGGCGGGCTCACTGTACAGTTTGCAAAAATTATGAGCCTGCGGCGGGCTTCGTCAGAGCCTCGCAGATTGCCTACGTCCCCGCCGCCCTCCCACTCCTATCTGCATCTGCGAGGTGCTACGTACCTACTTTCAACGACAGGCGTGTACATCAATCTGATTTCACGAGAAGGCCACCAAAGATCACACACAGCCTGAGCACAAAAGAAACTTGTGCCAATGACGGATCAGCGATCAGCCTGCGAATCGAGCGAGTACCAGACCCACGGAAATGGGCAGTGAAGAACCACCCCCGTACAGCGGATTTCTTCCTCCCCGTCCTCGCCGTCCTGGATGTCGCCATCGTCGTCGCCGTCGCCGTCAACCTCGTATTCCACCTCCTTCTCCTCCTCCTGCTGGCAGTCCACCAATTTCCCTTTCCCGTCCCCGGGCTTCACCTCCTCCTGTTCTTATCCCCCCCATGCGTCTTATCCCCCTTTCTCTTGTTCTTCGTCTTCTTTCCCATGTTCTGTTCGTCCGCCTCGTCTTCGTCCTTCGCCCCGTCCCCCGCCTCCATGCCCCCACTGTGTCGCACCCCCAGACGTGTTGGCAGGGCGGCCCGGGGGTTTCGCCAGAGACTTCCTCACGATGTAGGATCCTGACACTTGGACTTCGCGCCACGTACAATAAGTGACAACAGGTGGTTTCTCATATGGTAATCCCACCATATCGCTGCGAACATTCGCCTCAACAATGGAACGACCATCGTTTTCAAAACGGGTTCTCGCCTGAACGCCACGTGCATTTGACTCAATAGTTCTATCAGTTACGCGGAGAACACGTGTTGTTGTTTCTGTTGTTGTTGCTGTTGAACTTTCACCTCTGCAGAATAATTATTGTTGCCCCCCTTCTGGCGCTCAATGTAGTTTTCTGATTGAAGTGCCCATCCTGGGGATCGCACCCTGTTTTTAACGGGGAAGTTCTTGAGGGTCAAACTGGGCCTGGCCCCCGAACGACAACAGCAATCATTTTAAGACTGTTCGCTCCTATCTGCTCACGTGTCAAGCAATACGTATATCCCAAACCCTCGGTGCCCGCCATCGTCGTCTTCGATCGTACCCCCTTGGGGGCATATCTTCCTTACCTGCCGCGCGCATGTAGCGCAGCCCCTAAAACAAGGGAAGAGAAGACTGGTGGAGGGGGGAGGGGTAATAATGGAGCACGAGAAGAATTATCAGGAGAGAAAGCAAGAAACAAAAACATCAAGTGGTATAACTAGACGAGCAGACCGGGTGGGCAGACCATAACGGGCATGTCGGGAAGGCGGGCTTAGGCGACCAGGTCGAGCAGGCGGGTTGCTGAAGCGTGAGTCATGCATGGATCGCCATATACTTCCTCTCAAATGATTGCAAAATCGCGCTCTCGCGCGGGACTTCCTCACAATGTATGCATGAATCGCGCTCTCGCGTTGGATTTCCCCGCAATGTATTCAAACGCCGCGCCCTAGACAATTAGGAATCACGCTCTCGCATTAGCCTGTCTCGCGATGTACGTGGGAATCGCGATACCGTCTGAGACTTCCTCTCATTATATGCAAGACTCACGCTTCAGCAACCCACCTGCTCGACCTGGCGGCCTGGGCCCGCCTTCCCGACCCGCCCGCTAGGGTCTGCCCGCGCGATCTGCCCGTCTGGTTCTGCCACGTGCTTTCTGCTCCTCGCCCCCATCCTGCTACTCTCTCTCTCTCTCTCGTGCTCAGTCCTTATCCCTCCCCTTCCATCCGTCCTCTCCTCCCCTGTTTTAAGGGCTGCGCTAAATGTGCGTGGCAAGTACGGACGATATACCCCCCGGGTGTACGATCGAAGACGAAGAGAGCGGGTACCGAGGGCTTGAGATATACATGTTGAAATGGCACGCGGGCAGATATGAGCGACATACTTAAAACAATTGTTGGTGGTGTCGTTATTGTTGTTGCTGTTGGTGTGGTTGTTGTTGTATGTTCCTTTTCAAACCACGGCTTTCGCATTAGCGCCGCGCACATTCGCCTTCAACGTTTGCAGCTGGCACAAAGATATAGGGCGGCTCAATTTTAAACTGGGGCTCTGGCCTGAGCGCCGCGAGCATGCGTCTTAAGCGCTTGCAGCAATGTTAAGGACCGAGGGCAGTTCTGTTCAAAAAAAACTCGCACCACAACGCTGCATCTACTTGTCTTCAAAGCCTGCAACCGTTTCAATGGAGGACGGCGGATCCATTTCAACATGGAAACCTTGCTTGAGACGTCCTGAACGTGGCCAGAGGTGTGAGCGAGTGCAACACTTAAACGGATGTGGAGTCATGATGTGGAGCGGTCCTTTGTCAAAACGATGGTATCGCTGGATGCCTCGTATACCTACATTACCATACAATTCCGCATTCCTCTATGAGCGTTGAAGGGATGCAAGGCAATGCACTTCAAACATGTGACTCTCGCCTGAGTGGAAGGCCAACAAATGTTCTTCTTCCAAAAGGACGTGACTTGTAGTGAAAAGGAAGCCGTGTAGGGACTTACGAGCAGGGGGCTTGGAACGGGAGTTTGTATTGCAGCATCGCTGATGCGTCTTGCATTGAATCGGGTCATCCACCTTCTCTACTTTCCTCCTTCTCCAGGAACAAACAACAACTCTGGTCCTGTACATACCGACGCTCTGGCGAAATATTCAAACCCAACTCACATCCTCTGATTAAACACCACGCGTCAGTGTTGCATGAGTGGGTGAACATGGTGCCAAACGCGTCTTAAGGACTCTCGCTAGATAGTCACGCGGGCTATTGTGTAACTATGCTCTTGTCCTGTCCTGTTATTGTCCTGTCCTCGTCCTTTCAATTCCTCGATTGCACGGCCCCTCCCCTCCTGGATGTAATCGTGTGCTCCTTGAATTTCATATTCTTTCTATCTACTCAATCATATCACCACCCCTTCTCTCCTTTCCCCTTATCTCCTACATGTTACCTCTTCCTCCTCTTCCCTCTTTCTCACTTCCATCCTCTTCTCTCGTCTTCCCTCTCTCGTTACTCTTCGCTTGCAGCTCCTCTATCTTCTGTGACCCCTCCCACATGTCTTATCCACGTTCGTCCTCTCCTTATGATCGTCCTGGTCCTCCTCCTCTCATACCCCCCCCTCTCCTCGTTCCCCTTTTCTTGCCAGGACTACGACGGACAGGAGAGGCGATCCTTGATGCTCTTCGTCTTCTCGGCCCGCACGCTGTCGCACCACTGCTGGAACTTGGCGAACCCGACCTCCTCTACGTGCTTCTCCTGCCCAAGAGAGCCGGAGAGGGGAAAGACAATGTGGCGGGGAATCAAAAGAATGAACCCATTCACCCCTCCTCGCTATCCCCTTCTCCTCCCTTCTCCTCCCGGCGCCGGTCCAAGCCCAGACGGCTTGAGCACCCGCACGGCGTCCCGAGCCTCACACCCTCTTGGTCCGGCTGCGTCGCAAGCGTCCGCTGGTCGGCTGACCGCGGGGCAGCGCGGGCGGCGGACCGGGGGAGAGGCAGCCAGAAGGAGGCCACGAGCCGAGAGAGAGGCAGGCCCCGCGCGCGCAGGCCCCGAGCCCCACGGTCGAAGTCGGAGGCAGGGGAGCCGTGGTCCGTGGTCCCGAGCCAGAGGCGTCCAACCGCACAGCAGCGGAAAGGCTCCGGGGTGCTGGTCCGACCCAGGCCCAGCCGGACTCGTGCATGGCCGCACCCGTGCGCGGGCGGGCGCACCTGCACGGAGGCGCACGCGTGCGCATGCGCGTGCGACTGCACGCGGGCGTCGTCGGCAGCACACGCACATCGTGCACGTGAGTGCAAGCGCGGAGTGCGCGTGGGTCCCGATCAATGTTCCCCCTGGCCTCCACCCTGCGGCGTGTGCCTGCGACAGCTGGACTCGGACGTCACGATCTGAGCGCTGCTCGGTCGCCTGGGACTTTCTTCTCTTCCCCACCTCCTCTCTCTGGCTCGACGAATCTGGGCCAATTCGCGTGTCGACGCGCCTAGTGCTGACCTGTTTGCTCGACATCAGCGGCGTGAGGACGAACAAGTGTGCGTACATTCGCAAGCGCGGGTATGAATACATGATGTTTGCACGCATCACGAGCCTGACGAGCTGGGGAGGCACCCTCAGCGGAACACGATTCCTCTGTTCCCGCCCATGCTGATGGGCAACACAGATAACGAGGCTACCAACAACGAGATGGTTCAATCCACAAGCGCGCTCCTCCTTGCCTTTGGCAATCATACCGTCGAGAAGCTGGATCACCTTCTCGCGAAGACAGCATTTTCTCTGGCTAACTACTTGTCCTTTCCTTCCGCCCACCAATCGCACTTGCCTCAACTTACGCTTAGAGTCCTCAAAATAATCACTGATGTGGATCACAGGTGCAACAACATACGAACCCGATAGACAGGCATAATCCACTCTGCAGATCATTTGATCACAAGGTTAACCTGCTAAAGTGAATTCAGTCCTGCTCCAGGGGATGCCGAACAATCTCGCCATCTGGATCATTAGAGTGAGGGGGTCGAACGGTTATTCACTGTCCCTGGGCGCGTGGCTGAAGTGATTTTTTGCGGTGCGGATTTTTTAATACTCATTCCTTAAGAAGATGTATTGCTGCTCTACGGAAACGGTTTCGCGCGCTCTCGCCTAGACGCCAGCTACATGTTCTCTGAAAGCGAGGCTCCCGCTCGAGCGTTGGCTTGAGCCTAAATGTGGGCCCTTGGAGGCCCAGCTACGACAACAACGGCCCCCGATCGATACTTCCAGAGACCAGAGATGCCCCCGAACTCAGGAACGGCGCTCTCACTCGAGACTTCCTCGCAATTCAATTAAGTTGGCAGAGGCCCAGCCACGGCGACAAGGGCTCTTGCTCGATACTTCCTCAGGATTTAATCCGAGAGCCCCTGGCCAAGAAGCTCCCCGAACTCAGGAACGGCGCTCTCGCCTGATATTTCCCCGTACTTCAGGCAAATTGGTGGCGGCCCGGAAACGGCGACAAAGGCTCCCAATCGATATTTCTCCATAAGTATTCCGAGAACCCCTGGCCAGAGAGGCCCCCGAACTCAGGAACGGCGCTCTCGCTCGATACTTCTTCGCACTTCAGTGAGTGGCCGACAAGGAAGAAATTCCCCCCGAAAGGGGGTGCAATCGAAGACGAAGCGAGCGGGTATCGAGGGTTAGGGGATACGGAATGCAAGACATGCGTGCCAGTAAGAGCGAACAATGTTAACATTATTATTATTACTGTTGTTGTTGTTGTTGTTGTTGTTTGTTGTTGTTCGTTGTCGTCGCCCCACCCCACGACCTAGCCCGCGACCCATCCACGACCCACCCGCGACCCACCCGCGACCCACCCGCGACCCATCCGCGACCAACCCGCGACCCACCCGCGACCCACTCCGCGACCCACCCGCGACCGACCCCGCGACACGTCCTCGACCCACCCGCGACCCACCCGTGACCCACCCGCGACCCACCTACGACCCGGCCCAGCCCGCGACCCACCCGCGACCCACCCGCGACCCAACCCGCGACGCACCCATATTTCTTTAACGAAACAAATCGACGCCTATGGCGGGCTCGTCGTATAGCTTGTAAGCATAATGCGCCTGCGGCGGGCTTCTGCAGAGCCTCGCAGACTGCCGAAGCCAAGCGAAAGCTAGCAAATCCGTGTCTGCCAAAACGAAGCTCCGGGAATTGTTTTTTTTCTTCCGGCTAGCAGCCCGTTTACTAATTAGTGCGCCGAATTTTGTTTCAAGAATTTGCTGTCTTCTTCCGGGAATACCGTTTTAGCAGCCACGGATTTGCCAGCCCTCGCCAGCTTCCGAGCATCTGTGGGGTGCTACGTATCAATTTGGCTTCCAGCTTGCACAGGTGCAGAATGCAACGAGCGCTTTGAACATCCTGCGCAGGCGAGGCGGTCGGGAGGAGCGACGAAGAGCGGATCGAGCTGCCCCAGGGTCGAGGGCGGACGAAGCAACGTCGGAACAAGTTGGGGGGGAGGTCGTGCTGTGATTCTCTGCAAACGTGCGGATTGGTTCGCACATTTGGGCTGGGTTGAAATCTCAAAGCCAGACTTAGCACGCCGGAAGGCCTCGGGGGCTGCCCCGAGGGGAAGCGAGGCCGACTCTACTCAGCATAGACGGCCAGACCATCCATGGCACTCAAGTGCGCAAACTTCAGCAGGACCTGTACCGTCTGCGCACGAATATGGAGGTTCGGATGAGGCAACATCTGCTATGAGGGGTTCAGGAGGCCACAAGCCATGGCGAAGTCCAACATTGAGTGCAATATCATAGTCTGAGTTGCTTCCTACACTTACCTTCAACCGCGCGCCGAAACCATACGAAGGTTTACCCAACTACCAAGCCACGCCGCCTATTCATCCCTGTCCAATTCGTCTAGCTAAGCCCCCGCCTCGCATTCGGAACCGACGTATGAGTGGATTTCCTGCAAGCGGTTGCTGTCGCGGCCATTGGACTCTGCACTGATGCCCCCCCGTTCTCTCGAAGCGCCCAACCAACATAAAGATGAGGTGTTGTGAACTTGCATCGTAAACCATAGCGCTGTCAGCATGCGGAGGCGGAGGCGGAGGCGGAGGAGGAGGCGGCGGAGGAGGAGGAGGAGGAGGAGGAGGAGGATCGACCCGTGCTGACTTGCAGCAGAAATCCCACCAGCCCCCGTGGACGCAGGTGGCGTAGCACTGTGTCTCACCTCTTCCAGAACCTCTTCCCTGTTCGGGGAGCCCCTCGCAGACTGCCTTTCGGGGCTCAAGCTGGCTGCACGATAGCCCCCGGCGCCCCAATATGGCTTCCAAGATGGCTCGATATAACGAGACCTGGTCCATGATAGTCTCTCCGACGTATCTCCGAGGGGCCCCAGGACGGCTCCAAGTGCGCTCGGGCCCCCCACAAGAACCCCCCAAGAGGCCAACTTCGTTCCAAAACCTAAGGGGAATCTATACTGTTTGCCTTGTCGCCTTTTCGCCTCCGATGGGCCTCAGGCCTTGATTTGATAAAAATTAACTAACGATGGCCCCAAGAGGAACCCTAGCCGGTCCCAAGGCTATCCAATACACCTGCATACCCAAGAGGCGCCCAAGAGTGCTCCAAAAAGCAACTTTCACCTTTCGAGAGGGGAGGGGGCGAATTGATGCGCCCCCATTTTGAGCTATTGAGCCCACGATCGCCTAACGAAGGCGGACCCAAGACCTCAGTCCAAAGACCCCACGAAGCAGCCGCAGAAGGCTCCGAGACGGTCCCGAGAGGGCCCCGATAGGGCCCCAAGAAGATCCACATGTGGCACCACGAGTCCATTCTTGGGGCCCTACTGGAGGACTCTTGCGGCCATCTGCGGGCTCTCTTGAAGTCTTGTTGGCCCTGTTGGCCGCGTGCCTGTTGAGGTCATTATGGGGGCAACCTGGGGCGGCCAAGAGGTCGGGGAACCACCCCTGGCATGCCACGGTCTAGGCCAGGGGCCCGTCGCAAACAACACAGAGAAGATAGGACTGGGGAGACAGGGGGCAAGAGACAGAAAGAGAGAACGAGAGAGAGAGAGAGATACATAAAAACAAGGCATGTCAACACTCATTAAAATGTGTTCTTATATTCTGCATGACGCAACAAGCGCTGATTGATGTTAACGCCCGACGGATATAAAATTGTCGCGGCCCCATTACTGCTGCATTCGTAATGAACTCACGCATGGTGTGCTATGTCAGGTATGCCATGCTCCGCCATATGGTTCCATGCTCTGCTATGATGTTGAATATGAGAGCAATGATTCTCGACGTGATCGAGGTGTGAAATATTCCTTCGCGGGAACGGTTGTAGCAGCACGGGCGCTGCAGAAACTGATGTTTGCAGTAGCACGGGACGGTTGCAGAAGCAAGGCCCAGTTGGCCAAGGCAACAAGTCACCAAACAAGGAAACCTGTAGGGACTGCGTACATACCAAGACGAAGAGGGTCGATCGGGTGTGACGCGATCAAGCTATACTATCATCGTACCATGTTATAGACTCAGGCTGCACCATTCTAACCTATGCTTTCCGATGGTCCACCATGCTAAGGGCATGTGTGTGCTGTCCTCTGCTGAGCACTGCTGACGCTCTGCGAATGCTGTGCTGTACCATGCCATGTTCTGTGACGCGCCACCGAAGAACCCCGAGGAACTCCAGGGATCCCCCGAAGAATTGCTGAAAATCCTTGAGGGTCCCCCGAAGAGCACCGCAAAGACCCGACGGGAGGGATGCTGTCGTCACGGGCTCTCTTGCGCCAAGGAAGCCTGCTTGAGGAACAGCCCATTACGAAAACGAACCACCGTCCGATCGTACGCATGCGGTCAACTTCAACAGCGGCGAAACAGATGAACGCGAACGCTGCATCATGCGGCTGTCCAACTTGCACTCAAGGAAACGCCGATGGCCTTCTGGATTGGCGTGACTGCCGACGAAGGTGTAGCCCCCTCAGCAGCACAAGCATCAACGCAAATGGAGGTGAAGTGAAGACTCGGGACCCGCGGAATTCCAAGACATCCTAGATCCCCACTGCTACGGCCGGATCTGGGACATAAGAACATCCTTCAAGACCATGAGACCTTACGCCGGCCCAGACCGAATCATATTCGAGGGTACCCGCCCCAGGATGCACAAGAACTTCCAACACACACGAAGAACATTAGGGTACCCTCACCGAACAGACCTCGATCTTCTACCTCGGTCCGACCCTGCTTCGCGGCGTGCAGAAGGGGGTGGCGCAGGTGGGGCGGTCTTGCGAGAAATGGCAGCGGGGCCCCAAAGAGAGCAGGTGCCCTCTTGGCTTCCGAGAAGCTTTTTTATCTTCTACCATCTGGGTCCTGATAAGAAGGGGTGGGCCGCCCTACTGGAACCTCCGCACCTGCTCGAAACACCTTCTCCCTCGCGCCAATCCCCTCACCCAACTCGCTTCGAACAGCAAACTCGCGCAAGCCCGCCTCTAATCGAATGGAGGCTCCGCTGCCAGCCCCTGCGCATCCCGCAGCAATGCGGAGGCGTCTTGTAGAACATCTCGACCGTCCGTTCAGTGCCAGTCGGCTGAAGCGAGAGACAAAACAGAGATGCCCTTTCACCATACCTGCCTTGCATCATCTCACTCCACATGTACAACCTACAGCATGAGCTCGACCACAAGAAACCTCCACAAGAAATCCAACCCTGAGACCCCAGGACGTTCACTGATCTGTGGTGTGATACAGTCACGCTTCCCATAGCAAAACCATCGAAACCCAATAAACCCAGGGCACCCTGGATGCAAGCAAGGTGTTTCTTGGCACGGGCTTCCACTGTATCCTTGGACATACCTCGTACCCTCGACCGTGCCAAATGTCGGTGGACCTGTCTGGTCAGAAGCGACAGGGTGACCCCCAGAATTCGGGCTGCCTATTACGAGCATTTTGCACTCTCACCTCGTGTCACTCCGCGCTGCTTACATGTCGACTTCTTGGATGGCGATTCGAGCAACCAACGCCTTGTCTCCTTGCGCACTACGCAGTGCACTAAAAATCTGCGCCGACACGACCACGTCGCTCACCCTATTCTACCAACGACATGACCATCAACAGGGCCAGAAGCTGTAGGATTGGAAGGAGTGCTGGAACGACGTGAATGCAACAATGTCCTCAAAACCGAGACCGCGACGCCAGAGCCGAGTGATCGAGGACACCGACGACGGCAAGCCCAGTCGGGGTTGGCTTACCGAGAATGCAATGGTAGCCGAAGAGTGGTTGGGGGTTATGCTGCTCCGATCGTACTTAAAGACCACATCCCAGAAATAATTTCGAGCATACAGAAACATACCGAAACCGTGTCGAAACAGTGTCCAAATAGTGTCGAACGAATGTCTCCCAGGGCCCGACACGTGAAAACCTTAAGTTTCGGTGCTTTCGTGGTGCTCGAATTTCTTTCTGGTGACTCGGGCTAAAGTAGGACGGAACATCACAAGCTTGGGGTGGAACGGGGGCGTCATAGCCACGTTGGCTCGTCAGAGTGAGGGGGCCGAACGGTCATTCATTGTCCCTGCGTGCGTGGCTGAATAAAGAATTCGCGGTGAGAATTCTGCTTGCTGCGTTGTTGTTGTTGTCGTCGTCGTCGTCGTCGTCGTCGTTGTTGTTGTTGTTGTTGTTGTTGTTATTGTTGTTGGTTGTCGTCGTCCCACCCGCGACCCACCCGCGACCCACCCCGCGACCCACCCGCGGCCCACCCGCGACCCACCCCCCGACCCACCCGCGACCCGTCCTCGACCCACCCGCGACCCACCCCGCGACCCACCCGCGGCCCACCCGCGACCCACCCTGCGACCCACCCGCGACCCGTCCTCGACCCACCCGCGACCCACCCCGCGACCCACCCGCGATCCACGCCGCGACCCATCCGCGACCCATCCGCGACCCATCCAGGACCCACCCGCGACCCACCCCACGACCCACCCTCAAGGGAGGAAAAAACACCCGGACCCGACAATTGACGTTTACTAAACGGCCCTGGGCGTTGACTAAACGGCTCTGCCCTGTTCGATTTATTCCTTGTGTGCGTTTACTAAACGGCTTCGCTTGTCGGGGTGATTATGATGGGGTGGATTTTCTGCCCTCTACACCCGCGACCCACCCGCGACCCCACAACGACCCACCCGCGACCCATTTGCGACACACCCGCGACCTACCAACATTAGTTTAACGAGGAAATCGGCGCCTGCGGCGGGCTCGTTATATAATTTGTGAAACTTTGGCGCCTGCGGCGGGCTTCTTCAGAGTCTTGCAATTTGCCGACGTCCCCACCACCCCCTCACTCTTACCCGCATCTGCGGGGTGCTACGTATCTTTCTGGGCTTGGGCCTGGGCAAGGCCTGGCCGGCGACCCAAACGCACCGCGATACCTCGATACGTGTGGAGCAACACATCTCCATGCCCTGAGTGCGCTGCCAGGCTCGCCACGCAGAAGTAGCAATATTGCTGCGGATAAGGCTGACGAAGCCTCGCCGCAGCCAAAAACGCCGCGCAATGATAATGAAGTTCGGCGTCAAAGCGCCGCGTCAATCTCCTCCAGCTGAGGGCAACCCGCTGCGGCAGAATAGCAGTGGACGACCAGCGTGAGGACGTGCGCCGGGCCTCCAGCGAACGCGTCATGCTGCCGAAGAAGGGTGCAGTCTTATCCCCGGCAGGGGGACTGTCTTCTTGTGGATACGGTGCCTGCTGGCAGAAAGCGCTGCACGGCGGGGCGATGCCATTGCCGTGGACCTGGACACGTAGCCAGAGACAGAAAAGCGCTGAACGCACAGTAGGGCACGGCTGCTGGATGACCACCGTGGATACCACCGCAGGCCCCATATGAAAAAGCTGGGGCGCGAAGATTTCAATGTGACCGAGAAACATTCGTCCTTCTCAAGCGGCCACACATGCGAAGCCGCGGACACTCGAATGGGCGCACACTTGGGCACGCACCGCGCCCACAGCCGGTTGCAGGACGGAACCGCGCTTGCATGCACTGGCGCACGCGCGCCCAAAAGAGGTCCCCGCAGGACCCCCAAATAAGTCTCCCACTTGATCACTTACAAGTGCAGGAGCTGTACAGAAGTCTCGCGGTTCGGACCCATTCAAAACTCCCACGGGGTACCTTTTGAACTATTCCGAAACTTACTCACAACAACCATGTGTCTTTATATCTAGAAGCCTACACTTCGGGTGCCCCGGGGTGGCAGAAGGAGTCCGCCAACTTGGCACTCGGTTTTGTGTGACTCATGCCCGCTCAAGATCACGCACGCATGGACGTATACTCCCCATTGGAATTGATATGGCAATTGGCAGAGGCACAATCTGGCGAGAGAAAGTGGCATAGGAAGAGAAACACTTTGCCACTAACAACCGCAACACAAAACGAGCCCAAAACACAACTGGTAAAATCAAATCTCAAAACAGCTCACTGCTTAGGGCCCAACCGGCATTCCAAACGGCGAGCATGTATCGGGCGCAGCTCAGTAGAAATCGCCAGGTCCACCAAATTTCTGGGCCCCTGGACCTGGTCGTTGTCGGCTTCGGTCTCGTCGTGGTCGTCGTTATCGTCGTTTTCAAGATCCTCGCCACCTTCCGTGCCTCTGTCCTTCCTGGTCCTGCCCCCTTCCCCTTTTCCCGGGTCGCGAATAAAACGGCCTGCTGTTCGTTGTGCTACATGTTGCGCGCTCGGACGGTCTACTGGGTGCGCAAAAGGTTGCGCGCTCGGCCGCCAAGAATAAAGCGGCCTGCCATTGGTTGCACCATAGATTGCGCACTCGACCGCCGGCACTAAAATTGGATGCTATGGCTTGTGCCACGATTTGCGCGCTCGGCCGCGGGCCATAACATGGCCTGGCATTGATTACGACATAAGTTGCGCGCTCGGCCGCCGAGGCCACATTGCGCGAAAATTGCGCGATCGGTCGCCGATCTCATAAGGGTCTGCTATTGGTTGAACTATACGTTCTGCGCTGACAAGCCGAGCAGAAACCGGCGCCTGTTTATTGCTTGCGCCACAAGTTGCGCCATAGGCTGCGTCATGAATTGCAAATGGGCCCGCCGAGAATACAACGGCCTGCGATTGGTTGAGACAAAGGCTCCGCGCACAAAAAAACAACTGAACCGCTTTACCTCGCGAGAAACAAATTCAAGCTACGCCCGAAAAGAGCGCCAGAGCATCTGGTTGTGGTGGTACAGTCAAGACGTTGAAGTAAAAACCACGGAAGGCTCAGGAGGGCTATATCTAGTTCGGGAAGCCGTGGCCTAGCCGTGGTCAGAAAAGCCCTTTCCTCTCTCACGCAGCGTTCTTCATGGTAGCACGAGGACTGCATCTCGCGTGGTCATGGATGTGCAGCGCAAGATCGGGGGGAGCCCTGGAAGCGACAGTAGACCGCTACCCGCGAAGAGAAGCGCAGGACATGCGACGGGGTACCGCGCGGACATGCCGCCCGACGTGCAGACACGCCGTGTGCAAGTGGCGGCGGCTTCCGGGTGCTGGAACCACTGAGCGCGGTGGAGCGATGGCCCTGGCGAGGACCCTAGACCCACGTGCACAAAGAGCCGCTGGAAGCGGCAACTCCTGTGGAGCCGCCCCTGCCCCTGCCCCTCGTGTCGGGGCAATGCCCTCTGCTCCTTGCTCCGCACGCTCCAACGGTCAACTGGTGCATGGCCACTCCAAGATTGCCGGCGATCTGCTCGGCTGCGTGGCCTCCTCGGCAGCCAAAGAAGCGGGTGATGGCCGCTGGGTGCCCTGACGCGCTGACCACCGTGCGGGCCTGCAGGAGCAGCGGAAACGGGTCCTGGACCCAGGGGCCTTCCTCGGGCCCAGCTTTCCGTCCCAGGTCGTCGTTTGACGGTCCAACAGGCCCAAGGAGGTCCCCGAGAACCCGAGAACCGGAAAAACCTCCGGGACCCCTCACTCCATGTATACCTTCCAGACGAGGTACAAGTAGATGGGGTCGGAGGATCGCGCCGCATCGCCAATGCATCGCCAATGCATCGCTGACTGATCGGCGATGCGTCGGCGATTCATCGGCGCAATCGACGTGGAGCATATATGGTTCCTCATCGAGCCGCCGTCGATGCATCCACCATGCGGAACGATCTTTCCAAACCACTACTCGGACCCCCATTGGGAGGCCTGAGCTCCATGACCCCTTTGCTTCATGCTGGCTTCCTTGCGGCGGCCACCCCCCCCACCCCCGCCAGCAGCAGCGCCGCGGCCAGCGACCAGGCAGCGGCGCTGAGGGACCGCATGGCTACGTTCGCCCCCGCCCGCGGCAGTCTCGCGCGGAAGCAGGGGGGCTAGCGCTCCATGAAGGAGGCTGTGCCTGGGACGCGGCGGGAGGAGCACGGAGGAGGGAATATGACCTAGACGCCCAGAGACCGAGTCTAACATATTTCGGCCTGTTCGGCCTCTGGAGACCATTTTCCGCCCCTGGGATCGCTAATGAACGGTTCAGGATGAACACGCGGTTCTAAGGACAGGGTTGAGAATACCAGGGCTCAGAGACTCGAAACTGTCGACTCGCTGGAGGTCTGGGGAGGGTGGGCTTGGGGTGAGAGGGCGGATGAGAGGGCGCCGTCCGCAGGCCCAAGGACGCGGCAGGAATGAGGAAGGAGGGGCCAGGAGGGAGCCATCCCCAGGCTCTTGGACGCGGCAGGGGGAGAAGGGGCGAAGAGGGACAGGAGGACGTCGCCCCCAGGCGATTGACCAGGATGAGCCAAGGACGTCGTCCACGCTCCCGTGCTCTTCTTCTACCCTGCCCTTCCCGCCCCGCCAGCCCTTGCCCTCGTGTCCCCTGCTCTCCGCCCCGAGCCCCTGCCGCGTCCCCTTCCCCCTTCCGCCCCTTCCTCCCCCTCCTCCTCCTCCTCTTCTTCCTCCTCCTCTGCCCCCTCCTCCTCCTCCTCCTCCTCCTCCTCCTCCTCCTCCTCTTCCTCCTCCTCCTCCTCCACTCCTCCTCTTCCTCTTCCTTCTTCCTCCTCCTCTCCTCCTCCTCCTCCTCTTCCTCCTCCTCCTCCTCTTCCTCTTCCTCCTCCTCCTCCTCCACCGCCTCCTCCTCCTTCTCCTCCCCCTCCTCCCCCTCCCATTTATGATTACTATGGCGTTAAGGTCTCCGACTGCCCCCCCCCCTGGGGCGGTCGTCCCTGGGAGCTGTTCGAATTAGAGCCTGGTGACCCTCAGAGCGCCTCTCCAAAGGCCGCCAGCTGTCACGTGTTTCAATTTTTTTGTTTTTCGCAAAGAAGGACAGGCTGACGTGGAGGAAGGGGGGGAAGGGAAGAGGCATGTACCTAACAGATCATTGCCTCTTGAAGAGGGGCAAAGAGGTGGGCATAACGTGGCCGGCGGATTGTGAGGCAGCGTGGGGGGCCCGTTGGGCCCGTCGTTAAGGGTCCTCCTTCATGAGGGTTCCCTGGCCTCCTGGGGCCAGTGCCCCGAGGGCGCCCCAGGGTTCCCCTCCGCAGAGGTGTCCTGAATTGTTGAACCCTTGTCACCAAGGGTTGAGGGAACGGGAGCTAGCAGCAAGTGTGACGGGTTGCAAATGTGGAACATACAGGCGTTGCAGCGGCTTGCTGATGGACGCCCCAGTGGCTGCGCGGGTGCCCTCGTGGCTGAAAGGCAGGAGGTGAAGAGTTGGGGTGTATTAGGCAAGCGTCCTGGCGGAGGTGCCTGTCCACGCTTGCCGGTGTGGAAGGCGAAGGGCCTCTCCCTCTGCTCATAAGAACCCCGCCCAAGCGTCGTCAGGGTCAGAGGCGGGGTCCGTCGCCTGATACCAGGCGTAAGGTTGCCAGCACGTTGGCCGAGGGGCCGCCAGAGAAGGGTTCCACCGAGCGTGGGGGAGGCTTGTGCCCTGCAGGCGGTGGCTGGACCTTCCACTCCCGCCGAAGGGGCGAGTGGCCATTCTCGCCCCGGTGGAGGGCATGAGGGCCTCTCCCCCTGCGCATGGGGACCCACCCGACGCGTCCACCATCCCCGTGACTGGTACCCTCCCCTAGCCAGCACGGGGGGTGGAGGCCGCTTGGGGGTGTTCCATAGCACTTGGGGGAAGTGTATGATGCCGCCCTTCGCGGTGACGCACTGTAGGTTGTAGTCCCCCATCCTGAAGCGATAGCCCGCCACTATCCGTGAGTTGTGGCAGGCGACCACAGGTCGTAGCTGCTGCTTCGAGAAGTCAGGGTAGTGGAATGGAGGTGGGTTAAATGTCGACTGCCAAGATGTGCGTTTGAAGCTGCTTGGCCACGGTCTCACGGGCCCTTGCCGTGTGGGCTTGTGACGGGTTATCTCGCTCGCCCCGCCCACTAAGTGACCCCCATCCCGTCCCGCCGCCACAAGAAGGGGAGTGTGTTGATGTTGGCGAATTGAAGCGGGGGAAGCGTGGCTGCGAGGAAGCCAGGAGGTAGGGAACGTTGGAGGTTGGTGGAGGCCCCATTTCAGCATGCACGTCGGGTGAGGTAGCATAGCTTGTGGGGGAGGCGGCATGCCCCTCGGGGACCCACTAGCATCATAGCTTCTGCTGTCGTTGTCGACGTCTGCTGAGACCTTTCTCCCTCCTGACGCGTCGGGTGATCTACCATCGTTTTTGTGTGAAAATGCCCCTCGGGGGCCCACTGCGTAGCAACGCCTTCCTGACGTCGTCGCCGTGTGCTGCGACCCGTAGGAACCCCGTTGCTGCTGCCATCAAAGGGTGGGTCTGGAGATGGTACGACTGTGTTGCTGCCAATCCGGTCAGTGAGTGCATACTTTTTGGTCAAAGGATCGTGCAAAGGTGAGGCGTCGGAACGTAGCAGCTGGCGTAACGTACCCTGTCTGTCGTCCCAACGCAATTGACCAGGATGAGCCAGGGACATCCTCCATGCTCCCCTGCCTTTACTCTACAATGCCGCCCCGAGCCCGTGCCGCATCCCCTCCGTCACTCCTTCCCTCCTCCCTCCCTCCCTCCCTCCCTCCCCTCCTCCCCCTCCTCCTCCTCCTCCTCCTCCTCCTCCTCGTCCTCCTCGTCCTCCTCGTCCTCCTCCTCCTTCTCCCCTTCCTCTTCCTCCTCCCCCTTCTCCTTCCCCTCTTCCTCCTCCTCCTCATCCTCATCCGCGTCCTCGATTCCTCTTCCTTGTAAGTTACTCCTCCCTGTCGCACCTCGAGGCCAGTCGGAGAGGCGGGCTGGGCGTGTCGCATGAGAAGTCCTCACCATGTATGATCCTCAAGCTTGATATTTGCAACAATTTCACGAATGGAGGGCGGGCCGTTTTCAACATGTGGACCTCGCCTTAGCGCCGCGCGCATTCAACAACCTCTAATATTCTCATACATGTGGCTCTCGCCTCAGCGCCGCGCGCGCTCGTCTTAAAGTATGTAAGAGCTTCACGGATTGAGGGCGGATGGTTTTCAAATGTAGCTCTCGCCATAGCGCCGCACACATTCGTATTAAGCATTTGACAGAGCTTCACGGACAGAGGGCGGTGGTTTTCTGTAGGTCTCGCCTCATCGCCGCGCGCACTCGTCATAGAAAGTTAGCCTGACGAGGGACCCCAACCATATGCAGCTACGAAAACCGCATTGTGGGTGCCGCTTTCGGTGGAGCTCCCTATGGGCCACGAAGCGTGCGAGGGGTGCGCCGAAATCAGTGGCGCGGACGCATGCGGACCCTTCCGCTGGAGCCTTCGCTGGAACTCCCTATGGGGTTACGAAACGCTGTCCTGGGTGGCGGTGACGCGTGCGGACCCTGCCACTGGAGCCTTCAATGGAGCTCCCTCAATATAACGCCACGAAGCGCTGTCCTGGGTGGCGGTGGCGCATGCGGACCCTGCCGCTGGAGCCTTCGGTGGAACTCCTTATGGGGCCACGAAACGCTGTCCTGGGTGGCGGTGACGCATGTGGACCCTGCCAATGGAGCCTTTGGTGGAACTCCTTATGGGGCCACGAAACGCTGTCCTGGGTGGCGGTGGCGCATGCGGGCCCTGCCACTGGAGCCTTCCGTGGAACTCCTTATGGGGCCACGACACGCTGTCCTGGGTGGCGGTGACGCATGCGGACCCTGCCACTGGAGCCTTCGGTGGAGCTCCCTATAGGGCAACGAAACGCTGTCCTGAGCGGCGGTGGCGCATGCGGACCCTGCCACTGAAACCTTCGGTGGAGCTCCGTATGCGGCCACGAAATGTTGTCCTGGGTGGCGGTGACGCATGCGGACCCTGCCACTTGAGCCTTCGGTGGGACTCCCTACGGGGCCACGAACCGCTGCCCTGGGTAGCGTTTACGCATGCGGATCCTGCCACTGGAGCCTTCGGTCTAACTCCTTATGAGGCCACGAAACGCTGTCCTGGGTGGCGGTGACGCATGCGGACCCTGCAATTGGAGCCTTTGGTGGGGCTCCCTTTGGGGCCACGAAGCGCTGTCCTGGGTTGCGGTGACGCACGCGGGCCCTGCCACTGGAGCCTTCGGTGGAGCTCCTTATGGGGCCACGAAACGCTGTCCTGGGTAGCGTTTACGTATGCGGACCCTGTCACTGGAGCCTTCGGTGGGGCTCCCTATGAGGTCATGAAACGCTGTCCTTGGTGGCGGTGGCCATGCGGACCCTGCCACTGGAGCCCTCGGTGGAGCTCCTTATGGGGCCACGAAGCGCTGTCCTGGGTGGCGTTGGCGCATGCGGACCCTGCCACTGGAGCCTTCGATGGAGCTCCCTATGACGCCACGAAGCGCTGTCCTGGGTTGCGGTGACGCATGCGGACCCTGTCACTGGAGCCTTCGGTGGAGCCCCCTTATGGGGCCACGAAACGCTGTCCTGGGTGGCGGTGAGGCATGCGGACCCTGCCGCTGGAACCTTTGGTGGAGCTCCCTCTGGAGCCTCGAAACGCTGCCCTGGGTGGCGGTGACCCATGCGAACACTGGAGCCTTCGGTGGAGCTCCCTATAGGGCCACGAAACGCTGTGCCACGAAACGCTGTCCTGGGTGGGTGAAACGCAGGGAGGTGGCGAGGCGGATGGGAGGAGGGAGAAGGGAAGGAGGAGGGGGAGGATGAGGGGGAGGATGAGGGGGAGGAGGAGGGGCGTTGACTCTTCAAAACGAGGACCCAACATCACAGGATGGCTGGGTTTGGGAACTACATGTTTATTTCGAACGGAGGGTGGCTCCTTTTCAACATGTGACCCTCGCCTTCGCGCCGTGCGCATTCGTCTTAAAAAATGCAAGAGCTTCATGGACTCATGGCTCTCGCCTTATCGCCGAGCACATTCGTCTTCAGAAATTACAGAAGTTTTACGGGTTCCCAGAGTCAACGTACCAGAAATGGAGTCTTGGAGCGTTTCATGGCTTGCAGGGCGCGCCAGTTACGTTGATTCGCT